AGTGCACCAGAAACTAGCATGGCAAAGTGTGACGCTTAAGTACAATGCACCACGCATTCAAATTACGGAAACATACCAATACTACTCCCGATACATGATACTACACCTTTACTTACTTCTCTGTTCTCCTATGGCCACGATAGCATCTCAGTATTATAAATTGCATCTAAAATGTCAGAAATAATTCATTTTCTTTCAGTAAAACCATCCAGTTCATCAGATCACTCGGTCGCTTCCATACAGCTTCGGTTAAACAGTTTATTGTTACAGAAACAAATCTTTATAAAAAAATCTGCTTTTTTGACTCAAGGTAAGATTCGAAATGGATGGCGACTTTAAATTTGTCCACTTACTGCTGTTAATAATAAGTATTATTTTAATAAGTAGTTTTCATTTGACGTATGATTTCTTCAAGACCAAATTTCACAGTCCTCTTGATGCTAATTCCTTATCGGGACCTTCCAATATGTCGTGGCTTCACGATATTCAGACACTTTCAGCAGACGCTTTCAACATCATTTTGTTCTCTAGAGCCATCTCGTACTCATTAGTGATGTTGTTTCGGAAACTGGTACAACCTTTTTTATCGAATAGACATACGTGTAAGTTCTTAATTCTCGCATGCCAAGATTAGTTGGACATCAATAAGATAAATAACTTTCGGAAAGAATACCAATGCAATGTGTTGCTGTCGGGAAATCGATAAATTTCCTGAGATAAAAATATTTAACAAGAATATTAGCAAATGCGTGCAGAAATTTCATGGGGGAAGGCAATTTTGTATTATTGTTAGTCATGCGAGTGTCAGTTAGTTCGGCCCTGATACATTTGTTTATCGTTGTGCATGACCCAATTTGTATTCGTAAGCAAGTATTACTTACACATTATTTAATTCAAAAATGTTCATTGACTGTTTTATTTATGCTGAAAAGCAAATATTTCAAGGTAAGTTTAAACTTAAAGCTCTCAACTCCAACTTTCAGTTGTAAAGGACTAACAAGAAGCAATATAATTAGAATCCTGGGCTTTGGGAATGACGACCAGTGTGCGCACCAGCAGTTTTGACAGAGAATATGGTTATACGGTGAATGATGTTACACAATCCTTTGATCACTGTGTGCAAACTTATTAGTTACAGGAAATGAACATTAAGGCATGCCACATGAATAGAATCGACAAACTGAGATAATGTATATTTCCCCATTTGAACTTTTTACAGGGATAAATTTTATCAACTACATTGTCAAAAGTTATGCGCATTTTATTTGTTGCCCCTTTCAATATAACATGGTATTTATCATGGTTAACACTTCTTCTTCATCCTCCATCTCCGCTTCTCTTTTCGGGTCGCAGAGTCAGACACGTCAGACACAACTTCGAAAGTTCTCCACCTTGTGCCAGAGTCTGAGCTTCGGCAAAAGACAAATGGAGTCTGGAACAGACTCCTTCCATACGTTTGCACCAGGCTAATCTTGGCCGTCCCCTGGGCCTTTTGCCGGTCGGATTTGCAAGGAATAGTTGCCCAGCCTTCATTTCTGAAGACATTCGCAACACATGCCCAAGCCACGCTGCAGCGGTGACTTCTCAATCAGGAGAAGCAAAGGCTGTATCCTAAAGCCCTTCCGGATGTCACTATTTCGGACCATGTCGAGACGCGTAAGGCCAGCGACTCCTCTACGAAAACCCATCTCAGCAGTTTGTAGGGTTCGAAGTTTTTCAGTGATGGTCCACGATTCATGACCGTAGGTAAGTATGGGGACAAAGATCAATATTGAGAGCTTAGTTTTCAGACTGAGCTCTGCTTTCGTCACAACGGGTCGGGCCAGTTCACGCAGAACGCCGCTGGCCCGTCGATCTCTTCCTCCAACTTTCCATCACTAGTAAATATAGCTCCGAGTTACTTGAACTTCTCCACCTGCTCCACTGTCTCTCCGTTAATCTGAAGAGAGCAACGGGCAGGATAACGAGAAAGCACTAGGCTTTTCGTTTTAGATGCATTCACACGCATCCCGGTCACGTCGCACTCGGCTGCGAACCCTTCTAAGCAGCACTGGAGATCAGTTACAGAAGATGCTACTAAAACAAGGTCGTCCGCAAACAGCAACCTTCTCGACTTCGCATGTCCTATACCGATGCCCTCATCGCCTTGGCAGGTCCTGAGAATAGGGGACAGGACGCAGCTTTGGCGGACACCAGTGCGAAAGTTGAATGGTTTCGAATTAACGCTATTAACTCTGACGCAGCACCCGTCATCAGAATGCACTGATTGAATGGCGCTTAGCAGCTGGCCATCAATCCCGTATGCACGAAGGCATGTCTACAGACTGTTGCGTGGGATCCGGTCATACGCTTTCTCTAGGTCCACAAAATATAGCTACACCGGCTGGGCGTACTCCCACGATTTTTCAACAATCTGGCGCAGGGCAAAAATATGGTCAGAAGTGCTTCGACCGGGCCGGAAGCCACACTGCTCTTTTTCGATCTTGAGGTCAACTATTTCACGGCACCTCCTTTCTAACACCTTTGCGCAGACTTTACCCGGGAGGCTCAATAACGTTATGCCCCTATAACTGGAGCATTCCTTGTGGTCTCCCTTCCTGAAACGGGTACAATAATTCCCGTTCTCCAGTCCGCTGGTGTCTTTCCCGCAGTCATCGCAGTTTGACAGACAGGTTTTAGCCAGCACATGGATTGTTCGCCTAATGCCTTGAGCACATCAGGGCGGATTTCGTCAATTCCAGAAGCTTTATAATTTTTCAAGCTTTTCACAGC